CCCCTGATGCAACTGCACAGTGCTCCTCTGATCAGTAGTTAGCTCACAGTGCCTCTGGACCCCTCCTGTGAGGTATGAACTACTCCTTCTGACTTTTGCAATAATATGCTTTTGTTCCCCACCACAGTGATCATCACTGTTGGCTTCTACAGCATTCATTCAGGAAGCAGGTTCTTCCTCCAACAACCTCTTCTTCCCTGTCAGGCTGGACGGGGAGCTAACAGGCCAAGGAGATTAGCTGTATAGGTTCAAGTCAGTGCGTTTGCTTGAGAGTGTTATAAGAAGTACACAGAGCACACATCTGGGTTATAAAAGCCCTTTTATAAAGCCATTTTTAAACAAAACAAAAAAAAGTTTACAAAAGAAAAGATACAGAAAAAGAATAACTTGCTTCATATGTCCCAAAAAAGGAAAAAAATAAAGGGGACGATGCCAACATGCTCAACGATAAAGGGTTCTTTTTCTTATTTTTTTTTAATACAAAATACAAGCAAAGGATACACATACTTAAAACAGAGCTCAGGAGCAGACGCGCAGTCCTGGAAACCCTTCAATTAAAGAAAGCAGGAATTTGTTTTGTCTTTGTTTATGCAGATAACACACAGAGACTGGGATATGTAAAAATTAAGTATCACAAAAGACCATCCCACAAGCCTACCGATGCATGTTGCATTAATATTCACAAATATGGTCAACAAAATCATGTTCACTTCAACCCCGTTTTACTTAAATTAAAAAGAAACCTTTTAAATAAAGTGGTTACATTCAAACTTGAACCTCCTCAAGTACCATGCTGCAGGTGTCAGCACTGCTAAGGTATTGCAAGAATCCCCAACCCTCTGGAGTCTGACTGCACACCCAGCAACACTGCGGGACTGAGCGGAGCTTAAAGACATTCAAGCAGGGTTCTCTCTTTACCCTTCCTGCTCAGAACTTAAAAGGTTAGAATAAAATCAAGGAAGACTGGGAGCTTTACAGCTGGCGAAATGAAATCTGAAAGATGCATCAAGGCAAAGTTACTGAGAACTTGGCTGCTACTCAACCTGGCAAGTCTTAAAGTCTCTCCTTAAATCTTACAGGAACTAGGTGTATAGGTTTGTTGCAACATGTTCATGGTAAACAAACTAAGTAGAGCTCTTATTTACAAATCTCGTAACAAATACTTCTGGAGAAAAAAAAAAAAAGAATCCACTAATTTCCAGAAGACAAAGGTTTAATTGCCAGACATTATACAAACACACACTCACACACACGTCCACACAATACTTCAGGGTTTTTTTTTTTTTTTTATACATGTTATTTAGGGCATAAGCTGTTTACTACACCCCTACATCCCATTGAAAAAAGAACAACCAAAAAAATCCCAATTTTACCTTCCTCCCCACCCCCCAAAATCTAGAAAACCCTCCCTTCACCCTGATGTACAAAGTGTATGCACATTGGTGGCATCCACCAGCCACACGAAGCATGCTCAGACAGGTGTCAGTCAGTCCCTCACTGGCTTGGTGACAGGCAGGTTTGTAGGACTTTTCAAGATAGTGGTTAATACACAGTCAGCACCACTGTGAATTTCGTGAATTAGGCTTTGAAATAGTGTTACTTGGGACATGGATTCAAAAAGAATCATCCTTTATCTGAAGGAAAGTGGGTTGGGCTGAAGCTTGCTGATAGCTAGCTTGCTGTCCCAATATTCAAACCATGAACTAACTCCCTTCTCACGCTGAGAAAAGGACCGTTTTCTAACCTCTATAGCAATCAACTTATTCCCCCCCCCCCCCGCCCCCCGCTCCGCCTCACCCTCTTGCAGTAAACACCGATGATTTGTTCTGTCCAACTACCTAAGTCTAAGACCGACCCAGGTGTCTCCCTTTCCAAACTCCCAAGGTGAGTTTCTATTTAGCACAGCAACCTGTGTTCAGACTCTCCTTCCTGACGACAGCCGCGATGACCACAAGGTATTCTAGAAAGCTTTGGCTGTTGTTCCTGGAAGGAAATGCCTCTGAACACTCTCAAAGCATCTCCCAAACTCCTTTGTTTAAATAAAAGCACTACTTCCTTCCCAGCCAGTATCCTCAAGTCCACTTGTTACTTGAATGTTCGTGGGGGAAAAAAAAGCATCAAGTTCAGTTTAGCTGACCATATTCACAAGTGCCACAACTTTATTAGATTACAGCCTCCAAGTTTACCTATTTGAACCAGTACCAAGAGTAGGTGCTGAGTTGAGGATTGAGCCTGGAGCAAACCAGTTACTGTGAAACAACAACAACAACAAACCAACCAAAAAAACCAAAAACCACCACCAAAACAACCCAGTACCAAAACTCCTTCATGGGAAATCCACTACTATTCTTAGAGATTAAATGATTTCATGACTTCCATAAAGGAGGACGCACCCATTAATTTTCTTCCATGGACTCAACAGAAGTAGAGATGAAGGGAGATATTTTAAAAGACAGGGAAAGTCTACCGTTACCAAAATTAAAACACCTCCGTTGACTCCAATCTAAGGTGAGGAGGGCTAAAAGCAGCAGCAAGTTAGATGCAATAAAATGTAAGATACCCTTTTCTTGCTGTATGTGTTTGTGGCCGGGGGCAGGGTCTGGGAAAAAACAATCTTAAGAACTAGAATGTAGTGTCAGTCAGCATAGCTGCCGAAATTCATGTTCCAGAGGTAAACCTAACAGCGAAGGCAGAGACTCCAGGTAACACAAACAAGCACCTTCAGGGGGAAGGTCCTACTTCCTGAGCTGCAAAGCAAGACAGTGAAGCCACTGCCATGTGGCCACTGGCACACAGAGGAAGAGGGAGTTGAGTCAGGGCCGGTACCCGTGGTCAGGGCCATCAGTGAGAACTCCTGACCTGTCCCGACCTCAGGCTGAGCACCTGTTTCCAGTTGAGACACTGCTGCTGTCCTCCTTGCGTGCATGATTTGAAGGGAAGACTAGAGTGTTTGAAATCTTCGATAAAAAGTGGAGAAAACAAAGTTCATTCAGAGCCTGTCTCACATGGGGACACAGATCCTTTTGTCCAGTCTATTAGAAATATATAATACATCTTCAATCTCAAGAATCAATTTTCTAAAAAGCAACCCCAAGCAACCCAACCCAACGCACACCAGAAGACATAATGACCTTTAAAGTATGGGTGGAGATCACAGAGATGTTAGTGCAGATTATGATAGAGACTGTTACACTGAATATCAAGGCTCAACTTTTAACGCTCCCCCCTCCCCACCCCATGAAACAAAATCTAAGAAAAGTCCAAATGTTACTAGGAATGTAAGACTTAAAGTTATAAACCCCTAAAAACAGAAGTGCATGATGAAAACACTGATAAGGTGTTTTACTTGATGAACACAAACTTTCCTGTTAAAATGAGATACCTGAACAAACCTACTAATGCAAGTAGAATCATCTTGAACACCCTCATTTCAAAGTTCACAACATCATGAGCGATAATAATCCCGTTGCTACTCATGCTCAAGTCCTGCATTTTTGGCCAATTACTACAATCTGCAAATTCATTCTTTAACACACGGTCCCACAGTGACGTGACTGTCACTGGGTGATGTCTGTTTAAATCACAGAATACCTTTAAGTGTCTTAAGAATCAGAGTAAAAATATTTCTTAAATAACCCTTTGATTTAGAATCATCTGAAAGAAAGCCATACTGAGAGAAAAATACCTTGTGACTCAAGATAGAAAGGAAACTGCCTAAGGTATTGAGGAAGCAAATCTAGATAAAAAGGCTAAATTTCAGTAATACCCCTAAACCTTGCTCCTATTAAATAGCTTGCATATCAGGAGGTGGAGACTGGAGCCTACAGCTGACTCCTGACTGCTTGTAAGGCATGGAAAGGCTGTCATCAACTGCACACAGGCCTCCAAGGGCGTGATTTTAGAACTTAAACTCCTTGATTTAAGCAACAAGAACAGGAAACAAGAGCACCAAGTAAAGACAAAAGCAAACTGAAGAGTGCAGTGCCCATTTAACAGACTCCCATCAAGACGGGCACAGGGAAGGGAAGGAGAGCCAGCGAGTCGCGCGGGAGGGTGGAGCTGCAGGGCACGAGTGGGGGCCGTGAGGTGTCCTCTGCAGCAGCAGGAAGCTGCGAAATGCATTTTATATCATGTTTTTACCCAAAAATGGGAAGCTAGGTAGAGGAAGAGGAAAATGTTTTATTTTATCCCCAAATAAAAACAGAGCATGGTTCATGGGATCTGAATGTCCATCTACAGCTTAAGAGAATCTCAGTTCTCTGTTTTTATAAAGGAAAAATCTCAAGTCTTTGTGATTGAGTTTCACATTAATTGGTACTTTATTTACTTAAAACCTGAACATTGTCAGTTTGAGAAGAAATCCACTGTGATGTATAGCTCTTGCCATTTAATTTCTAGGGTTTGTTTGCTTGTTTTGTTTAGACCCTTGGTAAAATGTTATTCAAGAAACAGAATGATACAATACATATATATTTTAAAACATGAACCATCAGAGAATGAAATAAGAAACGAGTGATGTCCTGGTGGTCCTTGCTTTTTAAAAAGTTCCTTAGCAGGATAAAAGGATCACTGGCTCTGAGTCTCTTTGAGATAAGTGATGAAATAAAAACAAACTCACATCCTAAAGTAAGGCCAGGAAGCTCCACATCCCCGCCATGCCCCTGCTTCCAGGTAAAAAATAGGAATACTTTTAGTAACAATTCAGAATTCATCTTGATCTCCTACCTGCCCCGTCAGTGGAAGATTAAAGTCACGATTATTTTTAGACATCTATACCTGTATATGTAGATAAACTATTCGGTGCCAATCAAATGTTCAAAGTCCAGGTAGAGGAAAAAAAGAAGCATCTTTTAACTAAAACCCTCTTACATATTTTGATTACCGTTCAACTTGCTACCGTTTAGCAAAAAGCAAAATTTTCATAGTGTTCACCTCCAATCTTATTGCTTTACAACTGCGGTATACCTTCCATTACAAATAAAAAGATGAAACAATCAATCCAGTGATTATTTGACAAGGCTTTCATTGGGGGAGGGGGGAGGGCCGGTGGCAAAGAAGACCAATAGACAGAGAGGCAAATTAAACGTACAATGGTTTTCTTAAAAAGAAAAAAAAAGGAGAGAAAAAGTGATTTTCAATAAAAGGAAAAACAGCATTGAAAGCCCATGAGTCAAGCCATAGCCAAAACCATGTTCTATCTTAAGTAGGTTTTCTTTCCCCCCTTTTTTCTTTTTTTTTTCTTTTTTTTTTTAATAAAATCTCTCCCCAAATCATCATCACTTTTAATCTTCCCCAGACTGGGCTTCATCTTCAGACCCTTCATCCCCAGATTTCTCGGGTGGAGGGCTTGTAGATGCTTTCTTTTCTGGGGGGCTTTCCGGCTCCTCATCATCTTCTTTGGGCGACGGAGTCTTTTCCTTTGATGCCTTTGAAGCTGTGGGGCGACCCACTTTCCCTTTGCCTTTCACTGGACTTGGCGTCACTGAAAGAAGAAAAACACCATTTGGGGCAAAGGTTGGAAGAAAATACTTTTTTTTTTTGGAAGAAAATACTTTTAATAAAAAACAGCTATCCCAGAAAGCAACTGGTAAGGAAAAAAAAATTGTTTCTGACCCAACAGACCAACTTCCTAAAAACCAAGGTGGGCACTGAGGTACCACAGCCCCCAACCAGCCCATCTCGACTTCTAAACTGACCTTGAAAACTGTGCAGTACACTAACGTGGCTTCCAATCACTTTTAAAATCACTGTCAGTCCTGGCCCTCCCTGGTGGCGCAGTGGGTTAAAGCACAGCACTAAGAAGCTAAAGCCACTTCAGCATGAGTTCGATCCCCGCCTGCCTCAGAGGTGACCACATGGCACGGCAGACCTCTCCTGACCCGCCCGCTGTTCCCCTCAGCAGTGTACTTTGTTGATCTGCCTGTTCTGCTCCCCACTCTATCCCTGGTGAATCCTCTCACCACCCCTGCACCTCTGGCTTGTACCCCAGTTCTGTATGCATAAATAAATAAATTCTTAAAAAAAAAAAATCACTGTCAGTCCTTTACACACCCATATAACTTTGGGGTATTTTCACACATGCTTCGCCTTCCACCAAAGCTCTAGTGCCAATGAGCTTCCTACCCTCCCCTGCGTCCCACTCCTGGTAACCGGTGTATTTTCCAGAGTCTAAACAATTTTTGCCAGTGTCTGTTTTTTTGGGTTATTTATATTCCACAAATTCTAAAACCATTTGGTATCTGTGTTTCACCTACTTTTATCAATGCAATGTTATATTAGCAGTCAAGCTTCTATGAAATGTCAGGTGGTAGAAAATGCACATGACCACAGCTTTTGTGAAACTAAAAGTTGTTTATGCTTAAAGAGTGAGTAAAAAGCAGTAAGGTGGCAACGTAATCTGAGCAGAGACTGAAGCCATCGAAGAACTTCTGACAGCTCTATCACTCCCAACAGTCAGCAGTGATTTTAGAAAGTACCAGTTCTATTTGCTAAAATTAAACAAAAACACACAAACCCAACTTTCTGATTTAATGACAAAATAGTTCCAACAAAGAGAAAATCTGGCAGAAACCACAAGAGCTCAAAGATGATAAATCCGTGTCGCCTAGTGAGGTTCTATTCTGCTGAGGCTGAGGGTGGGGGTCAGGTCACGGAGGGGTGTGCCTGCAGGTTTCAGCTCTCACTAGCTGCCAGGGGCAGGGACTGCCTCCTGGCCAGACCCTAGGGGTTCGAGTTCTTCTTCCGGTGACACTATAAGGTGCTTTCCTGCAGAAAGGCCCTTTTTCAGAAGACGTTTACTCTTAACAGCCCCTCATGAAAAATTTCTGTAGAAAAAGATGATTAGGCCCTGAAAATTTCCTAAGCACTAATTAACGTCACTTCAGAGAGCTCACCTGTAGCCTTTAGCCTGGGTTTGGGCATTTTCTTTTCTTTTCTCTCAGGTTTGGACTTCTTAACCATCTTTTTGTTTTTCTTTTTTGAACTGCCATAGTCACTATCATCATCATCTTCCATTAGGAAATCTTCATCACTGCCGGAATCTTCTGAGAGGAAAGAAGAATCCAACTTAGTGCCTACAGCCTTCCAAGTGAACAGAGGGGCAGGGTGCTAGGAACCACCGGAGGGCGGGATTTGGGAGCCAGATGCTCTTGGGCTCTGGTTTGCAGCTGTTCTGCCGGGGTCACTGGAGCTGTGAATGGCCCCACCTGTAAAACAGTCCTGTTACACGCTGCAGGGGGGAGGGATGTGGTGACTGACTTATGTGAAGAGAAGGCTGGAAAACAGGAAGTGTAAGACTTAATCTGAATAAAAATGGAAACCACCCAGTAACTTCGGGTGTTCCATCATTCCCATATAATACTGGTGCTACCAGGGAAATGAATTGGTTTGGTGTGTTTGATCCAACTATGAATTTAAAAAATGAGAAACACACATTTGATTAATCTGAGTCATCTGTGAATTTTTAATGTTGGTTCACGCAGCTAGGAACAGCACCTGAGAGGGATAGCGTCTCGATAACATAAACACTGTAAACCAACACTAGCTCAAAAACTTTTTTTTAATGGTAGGAAGAGGGCCGAAAGCTCTACCGGCTACAACACGAAGGTTAGTTGGCTCGCCATACTGCTGCTAACTGGCTGTCAGCCCACTGTCCGTTCAGTATTGAAACACAAGTGACAGACATAATCATAAAAGCCTTTGAAGTGCTGAATATCTACTTTTTAAAATAGACATGAAAACACTCATGCCTTCCAACAGGGAGTATCTACTTTAAGTGACTGGGTGTAAATGTAACACAAGCGCTGAAGAAATCATGCTCAGAAACCACACCAGGACCCAGGAAAGGAGCCCACGCCACGTACTCTCTTGGAAAGGCGCCTCGTCCTCCTCCTCCTGCTCCTCTTCGCTGCCAACGTCTTCCAGGAGCATCTCTCTCTGCTTGGACGCTGCCTTCGACGCCGCCTGTCGTTGTTGGCGCACAGTTTTATGATCTTCCTTTTCGTCTTCACTGTCCTCTACAATATTAAAGTTATGATGCAGTGACAAAACAGTGGTAAGCTTATTTGACAGCTGACTAGAAAAGGGGCGACAGTGGTCAGTATGAGGCAGAACTTGCCATCTGTTTGAAACAAGCCATGGGGATGTAATGCTAATAAGACTGTCACATTAAATATTTCAAATAGCTACAGAGTAGATCTTAAAAACTCTTATCACCTAGTAAAAAAATTAGAACTATGTACAGAAATAAAAAAACTCCCACAAAATATACAAAAGGATGAAAATTTAAAGAATGAACTTGAATAAGATTATGTACCCTTTGCTACACAGAAAATAGCTTAGGTATGTAGTTTGCTTTTTTTTTTTTTAAAGATTTACTTTTATTTATTTATTCATTAATGTAAGAACTGGGGTGTAAGCTAGAGGTGCTGGGGAGAGAGGATTCACCAGAGACAGAATGGGGAACAGAACAGGTGGATCTACTGAAATATACTGCTGTATGTAGGTTTCAGTAACAATAAAGCTGAATTTAGGTGTGAATACATGTTTCCTGTAACATATTTTAAACAAATGGCATTGCTTGCCCTGAATTTTTAAATTATATTCAAAACTATGTTGACATTTTTAGACACCAAAGTCAGAAAAATATTTTTAAATAGCAGAAGGGAAGAAATTATATTTACTTTTAAAATACAAAACATGTATACCTTAAAATAATGTCAAACTATTACCCTTTTTAATGAATGAGGTATGGCCACTTTAATTTAGAGGGAATTAAGGGGACCTTCCTGGTGACGCAACACTAAAAAGCTATTGGCAGCCACTGTAGCACAAGTTCGATCCCCAGTGAGGGAGCTGACCCATGTGGCACAGGAGACCTCTCCAGTTTCCCCGCTGTTCCTCTTAGCTGTATATTTAAGTCAGTCTACCTGTTCTGCTCCCCACTGTCTTATCCCCTGTACCTCTGGCCTGTACCCCAGCTCTTGTGTGCAGAAATAAATAAAATCTAAAAAAAAAAAAAAAAACCAAAGCTCTAATGTAGTGAACTTAGTGGAAAAAAAAATCCCAGAGTAGGACTAATGTAAGAATGTCAAATATAAATAAAGGAAAGCATTATAGGTAACAGTAATAACCTGAGGATTGAAAATCAGTATGAATTCTTTGAAGATGGTGACATCTTTAAAGATGCATTTTCAAAGAGCCTGACATTATCTTGAAACTGCTTATTAAGACAGCCAATGAGTCCTCCCTGGTGGCGCAGTGGGTTAAAGCACAGCACTGAGAAGCTTGGGCCACTAACGCATGAGTTAGATCCCCGCCTGCCCTGGAGGAGATCCACATGGCGCGGCAGACCTCTCCTGACCTGCCCGCTGCTCCCCTCAGCAGTGTACTTCGTCGATCTACCTGCTCTGCTCCCCTCTCTGTCTCTGGTGAATCCTCTCACCCTCCGCATCTCTGGCCTGTACCCCAGTTCTATATGAATAAATAAATAAATCTTTAAAAAAAAAACAGCCAATGAATAAATACATAAAGAAGAATTATATTAAAGACAGTTTTTTACCTGCAGAGTGTGAATCATCCTTCTTGGTCTTCACATCTTTTTCTTCAGAGTCCTCACTGTAAGGGGAAAGGGGAAAAGGCAAATACTTAACCATTTTAGATAAAAAATAGAATATCTGGTCCCTGGTTTCTGACAGAACACTGGAGAACATTTCTTTTACATATAAAATACTTCAAAAGATGTGGAGGAGTGACAATGCACCCATTATTCTTTATGTCAAAAGGATGATAGTGAGTAAGCATAATTTTATTTACTTTCAGAAAACACTGCGTCCAAAGATCAAAGGAAAAAAGAAGGTATCTTACCCCAGGCTGAAAATGCCTCACTTAAGGATGAAGTTCACAAGAACATTGATAAGAGAAAAAAAATAAACCCTCTGTTGTCAGTGGCACAGTATAAAATATTAAGAATAAATCACATCATATATCAACAGTAGTAAGTTGGCAAATAAGTGGGCAGCACCAAATGCACTGCAGTCAAACATAAAACATAAATAGTAGAGGAAATTGGAGCTTAGTTATGTACGTGGCAATAGACTTAAATATTTACCTATAGCAAAATGAAAATAAGCAATTAATGATCTCCCACTATTGCTTATCTCCATTATTTCTATGTCAGAAACATCATCGCATAGGCCTGCCTTCTGTAATGGAGACAGGAAGAGACTTCAAGACCAAAGTAAAACAAGGAGCTTCAAAATTCATGGGAATTTTTACAAAACAATGTTTTTTAGTGACAAAGATAGGCCTTTTATCTTCTCACAAATCTGTGCTTGGAAATCTGGGTGCTAGTGCCCTACCTTTGTCATTAACTGTATAATCTTGAGGGCCTCCCTGGTGGCCTATCTAGTGCTATCACTGCCACAACCTGAGTTTGATCCCTGGCCAGGGAGTGACCAACATGGCACAGCAGACCTCTCCCGACCCACCCGCTGCTTCCCCTCAGCAGTGCATGTCAGTAGATCCGCCTGTTCTGCTCCCATTCTGTATTTCTGGTAAATCCTCTCACTTCCCCCCAAATCTTTGGTCTATACCCCAGTTCTTCTACAAAAAATGTTATTTTATTATCTTGGGCAAATTATTTGAACTCTCTAGTAATATTTTATGATTCCAGGAGAAATTCTGACAAATAAAAAAACACTTATATGAGAGAACTGCCTTCATAACTCTCTTCTCTACAGCAGGTCTAAATCCCCTTTGCTACCATCCCATAATCCAGACCATACTCAAATGACAAACTACTGAACCCAAGATTCATAAGCAAACAGAAAAACCAAATATATTTCTTTATTAAGAAATCTGATGTGAGACACACTATAATTCAGAAACCTGTCTGTGACTGTTCTAAATAAATGTTTTAGTATATAAAATATGCACTTAATTTACAAGACCACTATCATTTTCTCTAGTTCTTTTATTATTGAGTTTATAGATTTAATCCTTTAACCCCATTATAGCAAAATCAGCTACAAGCTGAACTTCTAAGTAGAGACCAACAGAAAAATCAATAGAATATTTCCTGGAGGAAACAAAAAACCATACAAATCATTTAATATAAAAAGCAATAAATGCTATATTTATATGAATCATTTCTAATACCTAGGAGAGAAAAATAAAACCACATGATTACTAAAAGAGAAAAAGCTGAGACAGTGTAACTGGCTTGGAAGCAGTTTCTTTCTAGGGGAAATCTAATAAGTAAATATAATGAAAAGTAGTTGAATGTTGAGTTGCTATATAAACTAGATTAGAGAAATAGGCTATGAAACTCTGATAGCTTTGCTTCCCCACACTGTAATTCTGTCTCAGTTTTCTAAATCTCTAAATTCTTCAGAAGAGAAAATATCAGAGGTTAGTGATAGATAGAAGCAGTTAAAATACTAGGTAAGTGTATATATTTAATATGTTATTTCATTATTTCTATAATTTATTATCCTGCAAATTCAGAAAGGAAAGACTTCCTTTTGCCTGAGGCTTTATTGCAGAGATTTTAGTGTTTGGAAAGGTAAGTGACTTAGAAGAACTAGTGAGAAATACTATTTTATTTCTTTCAACTGCTATATTTAATAGCGTTATTCAGAAGTGGTATAGTCTAACAGCTACAATAAGATGTACTTTGGAGTCTAACAGACATGGTTTTAAAACCATGGTTTAAGTTTTATGAAAAAAAAAAAAAAATCCAACATCATTTACAATTGGGAAAATGCAAGTCATAACCACAATGAGGTACTTCACACCAATGAGAATGGCACATATTAAAAAAACTGGCAACAACAAATGGAGAAAAAGGGACTTTTCCTCATTGCTGGTGGGAGTGTAAACTATCCAACCACTGTGGGAAACTGTATGGAGGTTCCTCAAATTACTAAAAATGGAGCTACAATATGATCCAGCAATTCCACTCCTAGGAATCTACCCAAAGGACCCAGAAACATTAATTTGAAAGGATCCCTGCACCCCTAAGGTTACTGCAGCACTATTTACAATTAGGTAAGATATGGAAACAACCTAAATACCTAAAAATAGATGACTGGATTAAGAAGACGTGGTCTATATACACAATGAAATTCTATTCAGCAATCAAAAAAGATAAACGCATGCTATTCACAGCAACATGGATGGAATTGGAAGGGATCGTGCTCAGTGAAATAAGCCAGAAGGAGAAAGAAAAATATTGGATGGTTTCATTTATATGAGGAATTTAGAGGAACCAAATTAAGACACCAGGAAAAAAGAATAATAAAAAATTTATAGCAGGCAGCTATAAATCAGAGATATTATATAGAGGATAGACAGGGAGAGGAATTAAAATGGGGTGGGAAGAATACAGGTCTGTGATGATGGAATAGAAATCACCTGAGAATAGAAATAAAGTACTGCACAAAAATGAAACACAAACACACACACACAATGAGGAAAAAATTAAATAAAATTTGTTGGTCTAATTGCTGGATAACTGAAAAATCGCAGAACTCCAAGTTAGTATTACTTACCTTAGTAAAGGTTTGTAAGAATTAGATAATATAAAGCATGTAATAATCATAAATGGTAGCTATCATCTTCATCATCATCAAAGTGGTCTTAAAGTTGTGTATATGTGAAGTGTGTATATATAATGTTAAGAACAGAGGTGCCATAAGCCAGTTACAGCTAAAATTACAACTCACCAAAGCTCATTTATAAAAGTAAGGCAAGGGAAACTGCCACATTAGATTAAATCATTCAAACTAATGAGAACTTATTATGAGACAGGAAATCTTCACAGACTATCCAACTCAAGCTTCTGTAAGCTTTAGTTATGATTCCCCAGAGATTTTTGACTGAATGGGATAGAATACTTAATCTTGCTAGCACTACAATGAAAACTGTCAATACCATCCCCAGGTAACAAACTACATAAACTATTGTTTTTGCTCATGTTCAAAAGTTTGAAGTAGCAACAAAGGCATTCTTGGAGAGAGCACCTGGGATTCTAGGTTGAGTCCAATCAAGCCATGTGAACTTGAAGAGGCCTCTCTAGCCCCACAGTGGTGCCTGAGAAAATACGAATGTGCAAAACAACATACAGTGGACAAAAAGCACTTCCCCAAATATTTGGGCCGGCACCAATTTAGAGACCAGAAACTACCCTCACTAGAGTGAAGACTGTGAATAGGAACAGATTTAACAAAGCTTCTTACCTATCTTCCTGTGAATTCTTTCCAGATCGCCTCTTATTTTTAGCTTCTCGGGGAGATGATCTAATTTTCTTAGCTGGGGGGCCAGAATCTCTTCCATAGTCTTCATCTAAACAGAATAATTTTGAAATTCAATGAGCCACATTATGATTTTTACATGTAGATTTTATTACTATATTTACTGAGATAATTCTCTCTCATGCAATTTCAATGGTGAGGAGGCAGAGTATCTTGAATATACTTTTTCCATTTTTTTATAACTAAATTACTTCCTACTCTAGTCTTGAATAAGGAAGTTAGGAAGTGGGTACAGAGAGTCACTGAGTTACAGGGTACCCCAAACCCATTAATCAATCTGAACTTGAGGCCCTGATTTAATCGTACCACCTTAACTTAATCATTTCCAATTCTGCATATTACTCACGAGCCCTTATTTATGTATATATTTTTAATACAGCCATAGATATTTCTTATCATTTTTATAGCTTACTCTTTTATTAAAAATTTGTTTTAAATCTTCATTCTTATTTGAAAATTATTATAACTATAAGGCTATATTATAAGCACTTTAGAATGTGAAGAACCCACAATTCTATAACCCTACACAATTACTGCTATCAAGTAAATTACCTTTGAAGTACTAAATATAGCATACTCTGACACTTGGGGAAAGAACTTCCAATTTCAAAACCCCCATCCAACTACAGAAAATCAAAACATCTTAAATGGTGATTATTTCCCAAACTCTTCACTATTTGGAAACAATCAGGCACATCAGTGATTATTAAATGGCTGGGTACATAGAACATTCCATTATGGACTATCATCTGATGGTAATGATGATATGGATTATCATGTAACCATTAGAAGGAATTTCTCAAACAACTTTCAAAAACATCACAAAGAGGTGAGATAGGGCAGAATCCAAAATTTTACAGTAAGACTTCAACTACATTTTTAAAAGTTTTCTTTTTTAAAGGTTTATTTATTTATACATACAGAACTGGAGTACAGGCCAGAGGTGCAGGGGCGGTGAGAGGATTCACCAAAGACAGGGTGGGGAGCAGGACAGGCAGACTGATGAAGTACATGCTGAGGGGAGCAGTAGGCAAGACAGGAGAGGTCTGCCGCCACTCCAAGTGGGTCACCTCCGAGGTGGGGGATCAAACTCTGACACTGCTGAGGCCAGCTTGCAGTGCTGTGTTTTAACCTGCTGTGCCACCAGGGAGGGCCCTCAACTACATTTGTGACAAAAAAGCTATTTGCTGGAAAAGGACCTTGAATAATAGTTCTTCCTCAATTTCATTATCTGTAAATGGAAATAATAGTTGTATATGCTATTTTAACAGAATTGTTCTAAGTATTAAATGAATAAATACAAATATTTATCAATTTTGTAATTTTATACTTTGGCATTACTTCTGGGAATTTAGATTGTTACTTTTTAAAATCTGTTTTATACATTTCTGCATTTTCTAACTTTTCCAAAAGATACATACTATCTTTATAAATTTAGATTTGAAGGAAGAAAAAGGAATTCTAAGTGTATCTGAAAAATAATGAGATCAAGAACAAGTTCTAAAGAAAGTGGGGCCTCCCTGGTGGCCTGAATCCCATCCCAGCCAGGAAGCTGACCCACATGGCACAGCAGACCTCTCCTGTCCCGCCTGATGCTCCCCTCAGTCATGTACTTCAGCAGATCTGCCTGTTCTGCTCCCTACTCGGTCTGTGCTCTCACCCCTGTATCTCTGGCCGGCACCTCAATTTTTCTACACAAAAGTACACTATTCATTCTATACAAATTAGTTCACAAAAGTTGTTTCATAGTATGTCTCATCTTTAGCTACTGTTATTATACAAAAACTTAAATATCCCCTATTACAATTTTTAATGTGATTTCAGTAAAAGATTAATTAGTAAATACTACAGCATAATTATATGTTCAAACTTTGGACTCTAAGAGCAAATAAGAAAAAAATAACTTATTATCAGTGACTTACTAAAAAAAAGTTAAAATCCATGCCAGTTTAAGTTTTGTTTCGAGTGACACAGATCTTGATGTAATTTACATACGTAAGTATTTTAAATGTAAAGAACAAAACATTTCAAAATCTTGATGCAAACATTTATAAACTGGCATTTCCCCCACCAACTGGTCTTACTGACAACTGAAATCACAAAACTTACCAGCATCATCAGATTCCTGAAACTGCGAATAATCAACGACCTTCCTATTTCTGTAGAAAGAAGAGACTAATTAAGACCACAGAAATGTAGGACTTTTCCAAGATAAGTGAATACACATTTTTATTTCATAAACAGAATTAGCACTAGTTGCTGGAAAATTATTTTTCAACAAATCCCCCACATGCATTTGTCACAGTAAGGGCAACTTATATCAAAGGTAAATACAATTCTCCTATTACTCAGGTTAGCAATAGCTTAAATGCTATTCTTTCCTACAAAACCACCTTGCACCTTCCAGCACACATAAACAGGAAAATGAGATAAACCATAGCTTAAGATGTCATACAGACACAACAGCAAAAATACATAATCTGGCCCTCCCTTGCGGCGCAGCGGGTTAAAGCACAGCACTAAGAAGCTAAAGGCACTTCAGCTTGAGTCTGATCCCTTCCTTGGAGGTGACTCACATGGCGCGGCAGACCTCTCCTGACCCGCCCACTGCCCTCAGCAGTGTACTTCCTCAGTGGGCCTGTTCTGCTCCCCACTCTGTGTCTGGTGAATCCTTTCTCCACCCCTGCACCTCTGGCCTGTACCCCAGTTCTGTAAGCATAAATAAATAAATCTTTAAAAACAAACAAACACACACACACAAACCAGGGTCTCCCTGGTGATACAGGGATTACAGGGCATGGGTTTGCTCTCCAGCCAGGGAGGTGGACCACATGGCTCAGCAGACCTCTCACCAGCCCCCTGCTTCCCAGTGTATTTCAGTAGATCTGCCTGTTCTGCTCCCTACTCTGTCTCTGTCCTCTTAGCCCCTGCCCCACCCTGCACCTCTGGCCTACACCCCAGTCTTGTTTGCATAAATAAATACAAAATATTAAGAAAAAAACCCCACAAACCAAAACTATAAACATTTGAGTTTTACTGCTCTATAAACAGACACACTGACATCATAAACAAGGTCATTACTAGCTTTTCTCAAAGCAAAGTGATTTTTAAATTAATAGTTACATTAGAAAACAAATTTTAACAGTTAAATCTTACTTAGAAGGTAAAATTAAATGGCCAATTCATTCAAAACATACTTTTTTATTAAGGGGTGTGTCTACAAGAAAAATATGTAAACCCTAGAAATTATAAAGGATTTCAATTACTTCCTACTAGGTAAGGAATCTTTAACACTCCAACCAAATCATTTTTTAATTAAAGATTTATTTATGCACACAAGAGCTGGTGTACAGGCCAGAAGTGCAGCAGGTGAGAGGATCCATCTGGGGCGCAGAACAGGTGGATTATTGAAACCCACTGCTGAGGGGAGCAGCGGGTGGGTCAGGAGAGATCTGCCGCGCCATGTGGGTCAGCTCCCTGGCTGGGGATGGAACTCGTGCTGCGGTGGTTGCAGCTAACCTCATAGTGTTCTGCTTCAACCCACTGCACCACCACGGAGAACCGCCAATCAAATCTTAACTTACATTTTCTTACTTCATATTTTAAGTCTAAAAGTTTCAACTGTCCCTTCTCTGTGTAAGCATCCACATCAGCATCTCCACACCGAAGCTCCCAGTGTACTTAAACGCACTGTAACTAAACGAATACTCAACAAGTGAACTGAAAGAATTAAGAGAATAAGACCGTAGCTAGGTTTAAACCTGAGCAGAAAGAGATTCCTGGGTTTACAGATTCAGATACCATTTAAATCCAAAGACAGGACACTCAAAATGTAAGCACAGGTGCAGTTTCTAAATAATATGCGAAAATGACCAGGTAGGAGAGCATTCTGAAATCACGTCTGGAACTTAGAGGTGGAGTCAGGGTTGGGCACATTCCTGGCTTTAGATAAAAAAGAAAAGTTTTTAAGGAATTTTATTTGCTGTTTTGTAGCCTACCAAAGATGAATTATTTTCTCATTTTATGCTAAACTGTAAACTATGCTCCAACTATGTTTTGTTATAAGAAGCTGGCTTTACCTTTAAATATACCATTCTATTAGGGATGTTAATTAAAAAAATGTGACTATCCAAAATCAGAGGCAAATGGCAACTGCCAGGGCTGGGTGAGGTAAAGCCTGCAGTTTCTGTTTTGCAAGAGGAGGAGTTCTGGAGGTTGTCAATCATACACGGAATTGTATGGATAACAATGACTAGAATGATAAATTTTATTTTAACCACAACTTAAAAAAAAAAAAGAAAAAAAAAAAAAAAGTCCCTCAAAAAAAAAGAGGGATTTTTGATTCATTTTCTGCCTTTTAAAGACATATTCAATGCTTATCTTATTTTAGTAAAATACCTATTTTTTTAATCACAGGTGACATTTGAAACAATAATATCATAAATACAAAGCTGATAATTTTCTGCATTAATCAGAACCAAGGAAAATGGGACATGCAAGGAAAGTATTCAGAAGAGGGAGGTTGTCTTATTCTCTACTAACTACTGCACAGGATGGGCATATCTATGCTGGTGTGATCACAACTAAAATATTGCGGATCTGTGTTATAAAGAATGAATTTCTGGGACTGTGTTATCAATATTTTTTTCCTATGTGGCAACATAAAGGAGGGTAGCCAGAGGGTGAAAGCCAAGTCATACGAAGAACAATGAATACACTGGGATTTTTATCTTGCAAACGGGAAAACATGTTAAGAGACTGAAGGGCTTTAACGCACAAGTAAAGCAAAGCACCTGCTTGGCTTTGGTGTCACATTAGCGTGGGTTCCAATAGTTAATGATAGTTACTTTGTTGGTCTATTGCTAGAAACACGGACAAAGGAAACACATCGTAAAAGTAGAGAGTCTGTTAGTGAAGTACTGGGGTCTGATACTACAACTTCAAGCTAAATCATTTCATTTCTCCAGGTCTCAGTTCCTCCTCTGTTGAAAAGACCTAAGTTACTTGACAAATCTAAAGCATTATTCTATAAATTAATTATTTAAAGCTAATGAAAATGATCTTTTTTACTTGCAAAGTTAGCCCTTTGCACAACACAGCACATCACTACACCAATTGTTTTCTTCAGTAATCTGAGGTTCTTGAAGGTAACTGCCACGTCTTACATTCACATTTCTCTTACAGAGCAAAGTGAAAACTCAAATGTTTTATAAACTGTAAAGTCTTTGATGATTCCACTTCTTGCCAATTAAAAGCCGGCCAAGGCAGGATTGGTAATTCCTCCAGTCACGCAGTCTTCCTGTTGGCCATGCTGCTACTTGGCTTGGAATGCTGTTCAGATCACTCTCTGTCATGTTACATATAATAGAGCCTCAGGTCCTCATGAAGACTTTACTCCTTTATTAATATAAAGGAGTAAGTACCTGTCCTCCCCATCAAGGGATAGGGGTTGTCTCTCCATTTGGAACACTAAATTCAAGAAATATGCTCCATGAATAACGAACTTGCATCTGCAAAGGACTCCAGTGGGAATCAGCAGAGAGGATATATCCCAGACTGGAGTTCAGTCTATTTAATTGCCACCCTCTGAAAAAACTTCATTAAACCTAAAAAATTAGGGCCTCCCTGGTGGCACAAGGCATTCAGTCTCAGCACTATGAAGCTATCACAGCCACTGCAGCAAGCTTGACCCCCAGCCAGGGAGCTGACCCATGGGGCACAGCAGACCTCTCCTCTCTACCCTGCAGTCAATCTGCCAGGTCTGCTCCCCACTCTGTTTTCTGGAGAATCCTCTCACTACCTCTTCTCCCCCACCTCTGGTCTACACCTCAGGTCATATATGCATAAATAAATAGATCTTAAAAAAAATTAAGAAATTAAAAAAAAAACCACACAGCCATTTAGTACATTTCTTTCTGAGTTTACAACACAGAGAATAATAGAACTGCCATACAGACTACATGGACATAATTCAAATTTTCAGAACTGAATTGAAAATTCACGCCTTCCTCTGAAACACAACATTTTCAACTATGTGAAAATGACCAGAATATATCTTAATGCTATATATTATAAAATAATAAACCCAAATAAAGTAAAATAAGAATGTAGAAGGAATCCTGTCTTTTAAGTATAACCACTAAAAAGTTATCCAGCTATAAATACTGGAGGGGAAAAATAAATACAAGATCTGCAATAACAAGGTCATTTACAATAACTCATTATAATGTCTTCTAACAATAGTTTGGTTCATTCCCTGCCTTTTAAAGATACTTATTCAAAACAACATACATTATTTATACTACTTGGAAATGTCCATTATTTAGGGTTAAAGTATATTCTTATGAATTTATTCCTACATAAATTTGAAATTGAGAAGATATACTAGGATAAAACCACATAGCTTAAGTGTAAGAGTCAAGTTTAAGGAGGTCAGGTTCTAACCGAAAACAAAGAAACATTCTTATATTACCCCTATTTAAACATCAAAGTTCAGCACAAACTTTGAATATAGATAGCACAGAGGTTAAAACCACAGAATTCTGAAATGGATTTGAATCCTGGCTTTGCAACTTACTAGCTCAATGTCCTTGAGCAAATTTCTTGCCCTTGCTGAACTTTAGTTTCTCAACAATAAAATCAGAATACCAATCCCTCCAGATTGTTTTGAGTGCCAGGTGCTATGCAATAAATAGCAGCTTTACTACTTGTAGGCATTAACTTGTTCCAGTCAGAACACTACTACAGTCTGGAATGTTCACAAGTAACACAAGTACTAGCACTGTTTAAAATATGTACAGCATTAGTTCCAGCACCAATTACAAAGACTGGGAAAGTTTTTACTTATTTCACTAAAACACAACCCTGATGCACTTCTATTTTTATATTATTTTCAACTTAGAAAGTTTTCAGGTTACTATTTAAGCCAGATTGTAGTATTATATAATAGCTACTTAAGAGCCACTGTACAAATTAGATCAGTTTCTATCACTTAGTGTTGGCGGGAAAGGATGTCCTGAACAAACTCCACAAACACGGTTTTATGGACGCCACCGGCACCCCTCAACAAAGAGAACCCAAGACACCAACGATGACAAATCCCAGAAAGTCATCACCACTGAAGGAGGATGCTGGGAACCCAACGTGGAGCTAAGCAGCC